CCGGAGCATCTCCTTTGTAACTGCCCACTGAGAGCGCATGGCGGTAACAACAGGGGTAGGTTCCGCGGGCCCAAACAGGCACAACCACTGACCCAACAGGGCCCGAATGGAGGTTTCCAGTCCTTCTACCCCATCTTCACGCCTCCAGGTTTTACAGGCATCTACCCCCAGTCTCAACCAACGACCCACGCCCAGCAAAACCCTGCACCACCGACCAACAGCCAACAACCAAGTCGCGCAGCAGACTACTACCGACCCCCACAATACCGACTCCAACGTGTCAACCCCTCTCAAGACTCCTTGTCATCACAGCGGAACAGCCGACCGTCTGCAAACGAGGTCCATGCTGAGAGTCCAAATGAGGATGAACCCACAGCACGGATGGTTGAACTTGGGGATCTCACCGAGGATCTGGCGAACATTCGCTTTGATCACTTTGAGGCAGGGGGAAGCGACGATGCACCCATTGTAGACTCAGGTGTGTCTCACCACTTGTGCGGTGATTTCAAGCTCTTGTCTAATTTCCGTTCTTTCTCCCGTCCCATCCCTTTGAAAGTCGCCACGTCTGGCAATCAATCTTTTATCACCGGCGAGGGTGACCTTATATTCTCTGGAATCGACAATCAACGTGTGACGATACACGGGGTTTTGTACTGTGAGCTTGCCCGCTCAACGCTAATATCCTTAGCCGCTCTTCGCAAAGCTAATGCGTTCTTTACGTATGACGTAAATCAGGACTGCTACTGCATTTACGATCCCAACAAGACTTTGCTCTTCCGGTGCCCCTTTATCCCGGCTCAAAACAAATGGATATTTCCAAAACCACTAAATCCCTCTATGATCAATCAGAACCGTCGCTTTGTTCCTTCTCACTTCTTGTCTGCTAAAGCTGTCCCGCATGATTCCCCTGTTATGAACCGCAATGACATATCCAGTTTGCCACCATCTGACCAACCATTTTCCTGCCCCATCTCCACTGATGTGCGAGTTGATTTGAGACGGGGCATTTTTGTGACACCGTTGAACATTGATAGCTACTCTCCCATGAAGACTGACAACCTCAACAGAGATGAGCACGTTCTTTTGTTTTGGCACAGGTATTTTGGCCATGCAAGCATTAAAAAAATCCGACAGGTGATACAAGAAAAACTATGTAGCAACCTCCCCCTCTCTCTCCCAAAAGGAGATGTGAAGTGCGACATTTGCGCTAGGAGCAAGAACCTGAACAAGAACCGACTATCTACTACTGACCGAATTGTTAACAGACTTGAAACAGTTACAGCAGATATTGTCGGCCCCTTCGAAGTGGAAACGTTCAACAAAGGCAAATTCCTGCTGACCATCCGCGATGTCGCCACTGGTTTCAGCGAAGCCAAGGTCATGGCCTCCAAAGACCTAGCAGCAAATTTGGTCATTGAAACGATCACGAGATGGGAGCGGCAAACAGGGTCTTCGGTAAAAATTCTGCGTACAGACAATGGGGGAGAATTCTCCAGTGACGTGCTAATGTTTTTACCAAAGCAAAAGGCATCAAAGCGGAAAGGGCACTGCCCTATCATCACTACCAGAACGGAGCCATTGAGCGTTTCAATCGCACCCTGGCAGATGTCGGACGGACCATTCTAATCGACAGTGGAATGGGCAAACCATTCTGGGGATTCGCGTTCATCTGGGCGTGCGACGTCCTCAACATGCTCCCCAACAAGAGGACGGGTTCCATGACTCCTTTCGAGGCGTTCTACGGCTTCAAACCATCGTGTGAGAGGATGAAAATTTTTGGTCAAAAAGGTTTTATCCACGTTCCCAAGGAACTGCGGAAAAAATTAGATGATAGGGGCCTGGAGGGACGTGTAGTTGCACATTGCGACAACAGTAAAGGGTGGATATTTTTCATCAAAGATACCAACCAACTGATCGGCAGTGCACTAGTTGACTGGCCTGAAAAAAGACCACTATCTCGTTTTGAGCCTGCTGATGTTACTCTCCCAAAACAGAAACAGGAGAAAAGTCCTATCCCGGTCCCACCACAGGAATCTAACAAACCACCAACAGAGACGACTGTCCCGCAAAAACCTCCACCCAGTGACCCACCTCAATCCAGCCCCACCTCAGTGGACAAATCTAGTCTCTCCTTCATCTGCAACAGAATGGAGCTTGGGAATTTTGCTGACGAAATCCAGTTCAATCAACAAGAGCTACAATTTGACCGCATTCTACTAGAATGCACGTTTTTTGCAGCTTCAGTACCGAAAACATTCAAACAGGCTCAGAAGTCAAAAGACTGGATTCAATGGAAGCAAGCGATTGATGAAGAGCTCCGGAATCTCGACTGCATGAAAGTCTGGTCCATCAGGGTGGTACCGGCCGGACGGAAGCCTCTCAAAGGCCGTTGGGTGTTTGCAGAGAAAGCCAACGACCAGGGTGTTACCATCCAATACAAGGCTCGGTATGTAGCGAAAGGGTTCACTCAAATTATGGGACAAGACTATCTCGCTACTTTTGCACTGACAGCCACCTTTGTTTCCATGAGGCTGATACTGACGCTGGCAGCTAAATTCAATTGGAAAGTTTATTCTTTTGATTTCGTAGCAGCCTACTTAAACGCACCAATTGATGAGGAAGTCTGGGTAGAAGCTCCTGAAGGTATGGATGTGAGACCAGGCAAGGCGCTTTATGGCACGAAACAGGCAGCACGTTGCTGGTGGCTGCATCTGAAGGGGGTCCTGGACGATCTAGGTTTTGCGGCAAGCCAGTATGACAACAGCCTGTACACCGTCAAGCATAAGGAGCAACAGGGAGTTATCTGGATTCATGTCGACGATGGCATCGTCACTGGCTCCTCCGACGCGCTCCTGAAGAATCTTGAACAGGGAATTAAGGGATTGTTGAAAGTAAAGTGGTGGGATGGCCTTGATTCCATTGAAGGTCTGGAAATCAAAAGATCACCAAAAGGCTTTAGCCTGAGACAACCTAAACTAATCAAACAGGTGCTAACATCCCATTGGGACGGAGTTTTCAAGAACAAAACACCGCTACCACCTTCTCTACAACTCATCACTGACCCAGAAGGTGACCCTTCAAAATCCACTGAATTTCTTTCCATTATCAGGTCCCTGAGCTATCTGGCGGTAGGCACGCGACCCGATATAGCTTATGCGGTAAACCCCCTCGCCCGTTTTTCCGCATGCCCTGGAGTTAACCACTGGAAAGCGGTAAAACACCTGTTAGGTTATATAGCTGACTCACAGGAAATTTGCCTCAATCTTTTTCCCAACGCAATGCCGAAACCTCTCAAGTGCTTCTGTGATGCGTCCTGGGGAGGAGAATTCGCAAAATCTACCTACGGCATTGTGGTGACCTTCTTTGGATGTCCGGTTCTGTGGACATCGAGGAGATTTGCTACTATTGCCGCATCGACATGCCAGGCCGAATACATGGCACTGGGGCTAGGGACAAGACAAATACTATGGGTACGGCATTTACTAACGGATATTCTCAAGCAGGAATTCACGGGCCTTCTGCACTGTGATAACCAGGCAGCTATACGAGTCAGCACAGATGACTTGGCTAACAAAAGAGTAAGACATGTGGACAGGGAATTTTACCTGACTAACCAGGCTCTGCATGAAAAGAAAACGCAACTCGTGTGGGTGCCGACAAAAGAGCAGCTGGCAGATGTTCTTACTAAAGCGCTTACTAGGGAACCCTTTGAATTTTTTCGTGATAAACTTATGGCTGGCGGCTAGGTGAGGGGGGAGTGTTGGAACCCAGCTCTGGGTTACCGGACGAACTCACCTAACCACCCGTTAGCCCCCTGTAAAAGCATGTATATAAACCTGTTCCACGTTCATCTACATGCAATACACACACTCTTGAGTGCTTCACCGTTCCCTATTCCATTATGTAGGGACTCCTACACCTGGGGTGCAGTTCGACGTGGACCGACACCCCTTTTGCCCGTGGATCCCACGAGTGACCACTGCAGGGAGTCGGACCAGGACCTGACGGTCCAGAGTTTTCCGTGGACTCCACCCTGCATCCATGTCGGCAGCAGGTGGACACAAGGAGGTATCCCCGTGGAGCCTGGATTAACCGATCTGTAAGATCGGGTGCCGCTGGCCGGCCTGCCAAAAAGAAACGGCAGGTGCAGATCGAACACACGACCATGTGCCAGTGCCGAGCACCAGCACATTACCACTCGGCCATCCGCAAGTTGAATAACTTCTAACTTTTCACAATTAATGACGCACACCTCCCTCCTTTTTTTAACTCATGACAAAAAATTGTCAAAGTTTTTTTTTTTTTTTCTGCAAACCGGTTTTCTCGAGTTTTCAGAATCTCAGGACCCACATCAGCGGGTCCTGATTGGAGCCGAAACGAATGTCGGTCGTCGTGAGACCGACGTGAGCAACGAGCCCGATCGGCTCGGATATGAGTTTGTGGAATCCACGATGAAAAAAAGTCGGTTCGTGGAACCACCGTCGAAATCGGCTCTTACCGATCACTTACAGAGCCGATCTCGTTGGTTCCACGGATCGGCCGAGTTTCGTCGGTTCCACAATCCCGCGCGGTATGAACTGCCGCTGGGGTGTAGGGACTCACCTACGGCCTACATACAACACTTTCACACAACAACAATATGTGAAACCCAACCCTCACACACCACACCGACCTCGGCAGCACACCTGTCATTAAATTTTACAAACCACTCCTCCAAGTCGCGGTGTATTCCGCAGCAGTTTGAGACTGTAAAACTGGCTGCGTGGACCCGATCATCAAAATTTTACGGCCCGGAAGTAGGGGCCGCGGTGGAGTTGCTCTTAAATTCCACATGCGGACCCAATTTACGGTCCGCGGTGGAGTTGCTCTAAATATTTACATGACAGCCAAGTCGCACACTCAAACCGGAGAGCGCGCTCTATGACGCTCGCCGCACGATTAGCGCGGGTGGGGACCCTTGGGGTTGGAGTTTTGCATTTGCATGTTTATGCAATCGACTTGGTTCCCAGGCCGACTTTCGAGAGAAGACACCACGAATCCTCACTCCGGATACATACCACTTCAAAACTTGCTCGGTCTACTACATTCAACTCTCGAACGCCACTCAATAAATCAACGTATTTCTACTGCGAAGATCTATCGATCCCTTGACTTTGTAGGGTTGGATCGAAGCGTCGATTGTTCGTGAAGGAGTTGCTGGATTACCCATTTGAAGCACCTTTAAATCACTCAAGCTGTTTCCGTTTCGTCTCAGCGGCTGCCGGAGAACGCTCATGGCTTCTGTCATGGGCTACGGTCAAGGAGCTTCCGGATTCGGCGGTCAAGGCATCAACAGAGCTGCTCTTGCCGCCGCCGCTCACAGCGTTAAGGCTCATCGAGTCTATGTTGGCAACTTACCCTATGCAGTCGGTTGGAGGGAATTGAAGGATTTCATGCGAGAGGCAGGTGAAGTCTCCTTTGCCGAAGTCCTCATGGGAAACGATGGTCGCAGCAAAGTAAGAGCACCTCTCATCTTGACCTTCTGCACAAAATCTGTGAACTGACTTTGTCGCCCCTTTCTATTGTTCCAGGGCTGTGGTGTCGTTGAATTTTCAACTGGGGAAGCCGCCCAGAAAGCGATCACCGAGCTGAGCGATCGACCACTACTTGGAAGACCTGTCTTCATTCGTGAGGTAGGTCACCAAGAGATCCAACTAGATCGTGACCAAATTGAATTAATTTCCAACTTATTTGTGAACAGGATCGTGAAGCTCATCCTCGTTACGGACATCAACCTCAAAGGCCTGTCTACCCTGGCGCAGCCCCTGGTGGTGGTGGTGGTCCCGGACGTCAACTGTTCATCACTGGTGTAAGCTGAAGCTCCTTGATGCAAGTTACAAGTGATGTGTTGACTCAACCAATCATGTCTTCCAGCTGGCTCCGAGTGTCACTTGGCAAACCTTGAAGGACATGTTCCGAACCGCTGGAACTGTGGTCAGAGCCGACGTTAATGTCGCCAAATGCACCGGGACTGTTGTGATGTCAAGCGAAGCCGAAGCAACCGCTGCCATAGGTAAGGGCCTCCTGACTGAATTATGCCTATACGACTGGCGACATTTCGTTGACACTCGTCTTCTTACGGACTCTGAAATCGTGATCATGGCATGTGTTATCTACTGGTAATTTGATATCTACATCTATCAAACAGCTACTTTCAACGGCAGTACGATCGAAGGCTCTCGTATCGTGGTCCGAGAAGATCGCTTCACGCAAAATCATTTGGGTGGCACGAACAATCAGTTTCAAGCAGGCTCAAGACCAGCCGCAATCGATCCTGCCAACCAAGAACCATCCACTCAAGTGTTCGTGAATAACCTACCGTATTCAACCGATTCGGCCGGCTTATTAGCCTTATCTCCTGGTGCCACATCTGCCGAAGTGATGATGATGGGCGGTAGAAGCAAGGGAATGGGTGTCTTGGAGTTCCCCAGTCTGGAAGCATCTGCGGAAGCTTTGAGTACGTCCTTCTGCTCGTTAATGTCTCGCTAGTTGCAACTTGAGCCTGGGAATCGTCGCAGAAGAACTCAAACTGATGATAGTGAATAATTGGCCACTACTTCAGCATCGTTACAGGGTCACATGATGGATGGTCGTCCAATCATGGTCAAGTACAATGAACGGTGAGCTTTTTTGAATGTTTTATCAATGCGATCATGTCCACGTAGCTGATTCCGAACTATTATAGCTGGCACGATTTTTCCGAGCAAGCAGTTAGCTCCAGCTCTACCACCAGCTCATCGTAATCTTCTGTTGCCCGTTCAACACTGAAAAATCTTCCACGCACGCGTCGAGTAAGTCTCGAATAGTGACACATAAACTATTGCGTTCGTTGCCAGAGTGGCCGAAAAATACCCAGGATAACGCTCAGCAATTCCAATGTTTTCACAACCCACTATGAAAGTATACAGTATGCTACAATCAAATTAAAAGCCCTTTTTTTTCTGAACTATCTGGTCGCTTATCTAAAAGCCACAAAAGAAATACCAAAAACATATGTCCGAATATTAATTCAAGGCATGGTGAAACAGAGCCTTCTATTCATTCAAGGCACGGTGAAACAGAGCCTTCTATTCATTCAAGGCATGGTGAATCAGAGCCTTCATTTCTCTACTGAGCTTTCTTGTAGACTTGTTTGACGTGACTCACCAACACCTCAACATATCCCACTATCCAAGTGCCCGCCTAAGTTTTGAGCCATTGAGATGCAGATTGCTGCGTGATCCCGATAAGAAGGCTATCTATGTATTCTCAAGATTAAAGCGTTGCGTTGATGAAGAATTCTCAATTATCATGATGTTATTTCGAGCAAGGCGAAGGCACTTTCTGGAGGAAGAAGCTAAAAGGCGTACAAGGCTGTTCTTCCTGGGCCTACTACCCCAGTAAGAGGTCATGAGAAGCTAGGACAACAGGGTCTCACACTGATCAAAATTGAAACCCACTTTCCCTTACTTTCCTTGACCATCTATCGGAGCCACTACACGCTTGTTGATTGTGGGGTGATGGTGTTGGTTGAGCTTCGAGTGAGAATGCCGAGGTTCCTCTTATTCCTACTCTGGGATTTATCTATCATAAAATTCATTTGAAGTCTGTGATGGGAGGGAGAATGTCATGACCGTCAGCAAAGGGATCAGTTAGTAGACATATATTAAGGTCCTTTCTCGGTTCTCGATTCGTTTAGACCATCGACCACCATTGATAACCAAAAGCCTTTGAAAGACTCCAAGAAGACAAACTACATCTTCAAACAAGCTAGCCACCAAAGATCTATATAGGATGCGCCGTATCCTTTTCATCGTGTCTGTCTTCTTGGCCCTGATGGAGAGTACTACAGTGGCCACCCTCTGGCCTCCAACACCACGATCGGGCGACGACCAACGGCGTCCGAATACAAGGATTAAGGGCACCTCCCAATCGCAGTGTTTTGGCGGCTTCTCTTGCGGATCTGTGGGACTCGCAGGGGCTTGCGATCATGATCCTTTTGGTGGACTCTCCTCTTCTAACATCCGAGAGCTGGGGCTTCGGTTCGGTGCTCGTAGTTTACTCTATACAAACGGGTATCGGTTCGGATTGGCTATGATCTTTTGACATCAGAGATCTCTAAAATTCTTGAGCAACTCGGTCTGTCATCTATATATTCCTTCCTGCCATCCCCCCTGGTTTACCAACTCATCTGTCTCTCTCGTCTCCAGACTTATTTTCTATGTTGATTTCCATTACAGGTTAATGGGACTTGGCGATTCATTACGCAACTCACGTCCACCTCGTCAACAGACCAGTTGGATTTTCACTCTTTCTTCTTTCCTCTCTATATGACCTCAGACTATAAAAAAAAATGCTTCCTCTCTTCTTGATGATCTATTTGACACAAGAATTCCGCTTCATTCGAATTTGATGAGTCTTATTTTAACAATTAACTTTCAACGAAAACAAGCGAAGTGAATGATAAAAGAGATTGCTCCTCTGAAGGGAATCAGATAGGTGCCTCAACAGTGAGTCGAACACTGGACCTTTTGCTAGCATGGAGTACTAGGCAAACGCTCTACCACTGGGCTACTGACACTGCGGGCATCTCGGTGTCGCTGCGGCGCGCAGCGTCATCTGACGTTTCGGACCAGATTCATGTTCCCGCGCGACAATTCAAATTTGGGTATGCAACGACACCAGCTCCCTGCAACGACACCTGCAACGACATCACACTAGCTCCCTGTGATGACACTACGGATCATCCTATCACCTTGCAACGACATCCTCGACTAATCGGACGCCCATCCCTCCTCAATTGCTTGCTCTCTGGATCCAACAGCAAGATTAGACTCTCAAAAGTATACTAGTTTTCATTTTCTTACTCTGTGTCTTGAAATTTTTCAGGGGTGGTGCCTGTTGGAACGAGCATCATTCGTACCCGGCCACCCTTGGCTCGCTGACATTATTTCGCTCTTGACCAATCATAACAACGACACTTACCCGCGCGACAGTTGAAGCCCATGGCTGTGTAGCGAGACTAGTCGGCTGAAACGTCACTTGCTCCCAAATCCGGCAATCCATCAGGCCAGCCTTCCTTGCAAAAAGATAACTCACCACTGAGCAATGTCAACTCCCCAGTAATTGCGCTGTCACTCTCTCCACCCACTCAACCACTCCCACCCCATCCTCACCTTTCAAAAAACGGACTCACCACTTGGCCAGATCAACTCTACAGTAATTGTGCTGTCACTCTCTCCACCCACTTGACCATTCCCACCACAGCACTCAAATATCATGAAGCTTTGCACCTGTTCGAAATGTGTTATCAATACAGTTTACGACGATGATGGAAACGAAATTGCTGGGAAATACATGTCTGACCGAAATCTAGCCGTGCATCGCTTGCAAGACCAGAGAAGACCTCTTGAAATACAAACCCGCTGCGACCGATCTAATGACCAGCTCTCTAGCTCACCTGTGGAACTACCTGAAAGTAACAAAGACTCTGAAGAGGACGGTGTTTTTGAAGGACTTGATGAAAATGAAAACAGCTTCCACCTCAGTGAGCTTTCAATCACCTTCAAATGCTAAAAAATCTGGGTCCTACAACTGATTCCTGTCCTCCTAACTTTTGCAGTGTTCATCATAATTTTTGTCAGCTGGTTACACATATTTTGTAATGTCAGCCGCGAGAACTGCCGCTCCGCAATCAATGCCCTTTTTAATATACTCAACGAGACAGTCCAACGTCGATCATCAAGTCAAAGCCTCTCAAAGATGCCGCGCGATCCTCGGACGTTAATTTCAAGGGCTGATCTGGACACTGAGCTGGTGGAGACGCTATGTTGTCGAACCTGCTTTCACCTCTATGCCCAAGATATCAGTACACCAATGGGCTGTGAATACAAACCTTTCAAGCACTCTCAACCCTGCGATGAAGATCTCTACATACAAAAAAAGACCCATCGTGGGTTCAAAGACCATGGCCGATTCCCAAATCCAAAGGAAACTATTGTCCCTTACACCATTGGTGTCCCCCGATGTCTCTTTGTCACCCAACCAATATTGGTTTGGCTGACCAGGCTTCTAGGCAAGCCCGATATGGAAGCAGCGATCGATTCTTGGGCACAAGAGCTTTCAAAATCCAATGGAGCTCTAGTGGACATCCAGCACGGCTCAAACTATCAAGGGATGTACTGGGAAGACTCGCCAACTCCTCCTGAAAACTCGGACTCGGACTCGGACTTGGACTTGGACTCTAACTCAGACAACACCGACAACACCAACAATTCTGTTGACGAGAACGCACCACTCAACTTGGTCCTCTCGCTGTTTGTAGATTGGTTCAATCCCCGAGGCAACAAGACTAGTGGTAAAGTTGAATCAACCGGTGTCTTTGCTTTTAGTTGTTTGAATCTTCCGCCTATCCTGCGAAACAAGATCCAAAACATATGTATAGCCGGCATCACTCCTGGACCGTTTTCCCCAGATACCAGCACTATCAGCCATCTCCTCAAGCCACTAGTCGACGAGCTAATCACCTTACAGCCAGGTGTTGTAATCAAAACACATCAACACCCTCGTGGTCGCCGGGTCAAGGTACGATTGCTCTGTTTGATTGGCGACCTTCCGGCAACCAAAAAAATTGCGGGCTTCGCCTCGCCGTCAGCCACTTGTTTTTGCACATGGTGTCATGCAAAACATGACACAATCGATACTCTTAAAATTGGTGCAATCAGACGTCAAGGCGAAACAAAGAGGGCCTCGCGGAAATCGAGAGACGCAACTACAGAAAGTGCACAAGATACAATCCTGAAACAGACCGGTGTGCGCTGGTCCGAACTCAACCGTCTGACCTACTGGAATCCCACAAAGTATGTTGTACTTGGTATCATGCACAACTGGCTCGAAGGGATCTTGCAGGGCCATTGGCGATATAGATGGAAATTTATTGCAGCTGCTCCGAACAAGAAACGACGCCGCCAAGAAGTTGTCTTTCCAACAAATAAACGACAAAGGACAACAATGGATGCTATGGTGCTGTCAACAAGTGAGGCATCTGCTTCATCTGATGGGGATGGCGAAGAGACAGACATCTTGTTAGATGGTGGTGCCAACAGCGGATTCTTTTCACAAGAGGATATCTTGAAATTTCGTGCGTCAATGAAACAGGTTGTCTTGCCTCCGCGTCTTTCAAAGCTACCTGGAAACCTTGGCGAGGAGCGGCACGGGAAATTAAAAGCTGCACAATGGTATAGCTTATATGCATTTATAATACCGCTAGTCATCTTCGATCTTTACCTAGACAACATCAGGAACATCGACATCAACTCCAACCGCTCCAAGATCATTATGAACACCGCATACTTAATTCAATGTACGCACATCTTGTTTGCGCGTGAAGTAACTAGCAGTCACATCCAACGGTTTGAAGATAACTACAGAAAGTACAGCGAGACAGTCATTGGACTCTTTACCAACATCAAAGTCCAACCAAATCATCATTGTGCACTGCACATTCCGGAGCAAATGCGAGGATGGGGGCCTCTGTCTAGGGTAGCCGAATTCGCTGGCGAGCGGTTGATTGGATTCTTGCAGAAAATCAAGACGAACGATTTGATTGGTAAGTTACAACCTCTAATTTCATGGAATTGAAGCTAATGTTGCTTGAATACACTTAGACAAAATGAATGGGACGATGATGCGACGTGCTTGTCAATTGCAACATCTGACAGAGAAGACGGAATACAAGTTGATGATGCAAGAAAACAAACCAACCTCTGAAAGGAAGTCGAATAAAGAAATCAGTTTGACCGATCCAATGTACGAAGCAATTTTCGAATACTTTAAGCGAGAGGATCCAAAATTCATACGCCGAAGGGATACGTGTCCTATCCCCAAGAAGGCAAAAGTCCTGCACGGATACGCCAAACCCCTCCGGTCAATTGAATGTGACGGGTTTCAAGTTGGCACAATGCAGCCCCAGAACTGTGTCGTGGCTAAAATCAACGGCAAGATATGTTATGGAATCGTCAAACAGATCTACAAATTGCAAGACCACAATCAACAGCCGCGAAATTTGATTGTACTGTCACCAATTACAAACTTATTCCCCAAGAAACTACGGGTTCCAACAGCTCGATTTAGGTACTTCTTGTACCTGTACAAGACCGTCATTGGTCAAGTGCGCCTCGAGCAGGCGCTTGTGGTCTCTCCATCTGATGTTGTCTCATTGGCTGCGTATCGCTACTTGCCCCCAGACACTTTTGGGATTGAAAAGGATGGGATTACTCTTGTGCCTTGTGATTATGCGCCTCTGCTGGACATATCTGATAATGCTTAGCTTCCCTTCCACACTGTCTGGTATTTTTGTTAACACCCTATGACAATGCTTGTATTTCTGTTCTTGTTCTTTTTTGTGAATTTTGATTCTACGTGTTCTTAGTTGTTTCTCTCCTTTGTCTACAAGTTAATGAACCCCCGGTCTGCACCCCTGCTGCTTGGGTCTAAAGTTTTGAACAGGACGTGGTCACTTGATGACCAGCAGCGATAATCCTTGCACAAAACGAGTGCACTTGACCCAAGCCGCCGCTCGGGCTTTACTAAGTGCCTTATGAGCTCCTGTGGTATGTAATGCAACCTATACTTCGGCTAGCGGATCCCTACTGATAAAAATTCACAAGGGCTTTTTTTGAAACACGTGTCGGAGTAACATTGCGGTTTTCAGGAATTATATTTAGGAAGCACATCTGTCTTAGCTATCTACACTTGTCAAGAGAAGAAAGCGGGTTTGGTTTAGGAAAAAAATCTGTCACGGCTATTTACAAGCTATTCATAAAAGGCAAGAAGAAAGAAGCAACCGGGTTTGGTTTAGGAAAAACATCTGTCATGGGTATTTACAAAAAGCAGAAGAAAGCGGGTGTGGTTTAGGGAGAAGATCTGTCATGCCTATCTACAAGCTATATACAAGGAGAAGAAAGCAAGTTTTTCATATTCAAAAAGACAATTGGTGGGATTTCAGGAGGAACCTTTTGAGACACTTGGAAGAGGTAAAAACATATTTTTTGAGTCGGATCTCTGTTGATCCAGTTTCAGTGATTTTTCTTTCAGAAGAGGACAAAAAATATACGAGTCGAGTTGGCTGGCTATTGAAATTTCAGAGAGGGAATAACATTTTTTTTGAGTCGGTTTAATGTTGATAAGAATTGAGGTCGACTTTGTTTGAAACAGGTTTGGCAAGAGACATGATCGGGCGGCCTTCTTATTTGTTGCTTCCTGATTGTGCAAGACAAGGAAGAACAATACAAACACAAGAAGTTAATTTTTGACAGGCTTGATGATTTGTTTAACTTGAGCCCTCAGCCACTCACCTCACCAGCCATCCTCCTCCTCCTCCATGATGGCAAGGGTTCTCGCATCAACACCATGGGATCGATCTTTCATGTGTACATCGTCTGTATTCTCATGAGTATCGCTATATTGCTCGTCTTCTTCATCATCTTCATCATTGATGTTGTATTCCTCTTCATCATCGCCTTCCTCGTCATCTTCGATATCATCGTCGTACAGGTCGCCAGCATCACCCTCCTCAAAATACTCATCTGGAGACTCATCTGGGCTTTCATCGTCCAAGTTGTGACCCTCACCTTCGGAATCGTTTGCAGCGGCGCTCTGCATTCCTTGAGCTTCCTCTTCGTCGTCCGATTCATCCGAGCTTTCATCTCCGAGGAGCCCATATGGCTCAACAACTATGTCCCAGTACTTGCGGGTGAATGAGGAGTCAGTGAGCTTCTCGTCTGGGTGCCGTTGCTTCTTTGGTAGAAGGGATTGACTGGCATCCGGAAGAAATGCAACCGCTTGCGTATTCGGGATAGTCTTCTGTTGAGCAGGCACTAATTTGTGGTACCAAGATGGGTCGTAGAAGTCGATGGGAAGACCTTTTGGAGCAGCGGTGAAAGTAGACATGACAGGTTGTCGGGGTAACTTGCGGACTCGTCTTTTTCGGTAGGATGATGGATCTTGCTCGGCTGCATTCTTCATTACAATGTCCAAGGCCCGAATAAATTTACTGGCATTCTTAGAGCGATAGGGAAGGGTTTTGATCTTGTAAATGTTGGCTTTTTCGTCATGTTCGTCATCGCTGTGAGCCCCAATTTGCGAAAGAATGTGCACATAGCGCGGTGGAAATTTGTTGAGGATTGCAAACTCCTTTCGAGCATCTCGTAGCTAAAATATAGATTTAAGTCAGTCTAAGAAAAAGTGGATGGCTCACTAGAAACATAAAAAAACTTACTCTCTCCCGATTTTTAGAGACTCGCTTGTTGCTGGCATCTTGAGCATTCTTTCCTTCTTGTTTTTTTTCCTTGTGATATTTCGTGTGTTGGATGAAGTGCACAAAGTGGTTGTAGGCTTGGATTAAGTAGGACGTTTGGGAAGCCATTTTGGCATTGACATTCATGTACTTGTAGGCTTGACCTGCGACAAGCTCTTGAAAAGTGGTGATGGCGGCAATACGGTGGGCTGCATTGTAAAGCGATGCAGAATCCTCGTCAAGGTTAGGGCACCAAGTGCGTAGCCCAAGACGAACCATGAGGCCTTGAGCATAGCGAACGTTGTTGGAGCCCAGGTGAATGACTGATCTACCGTATTTGATCGAACCTGTGGTGGCGTCTTTGAAGAGCTGGACTTCGTCGGTGTTGATGAGGGCAGGCGATGTAGAGGCCTGGGCTGCTTGTTCGACCTCTTGACCATTTGAGAAGCGGTTGTAGAACTCTTGAAGGTTTCGTAATTCAGGGGCTTGAGGTACCGAGTCTTGCTTCAATAAACCCCAGAGTATCTTGATGTGGACAAACAGAGCATTCTGAAAAGTTTTGCTTGTTAGCTTACATTTTAAACTGCATAGATAAGACTTTTTTTTCAAAATAGCTCACCTTCGTTGATGCAAATTCCAAGGGAACATCAGTCGTTTGCATTTGTTGAGGGTGACGTTTGGGGGATGGCTGTTTCACGGCCTTGGACTTCTTGGAGGTGCTTGCCTTAGGTTTTCCGACTTCTAGGGGAACTGAGGCTGCGCGAGCTGGTCGTTGGGGCGTCAAATTTGCCGGAGCTTTTGGTGGTGCTGCGGAGGAATTCTTGTGGTTGCTGGAACTTTGGTCGCTCATTCGGACTTTGATTTTGACAGCGGGTTGTTTGTCGGAGGCTTTTTTGGCTGGTTTGCGTTGGTTTTGGGGTTGGGAGCTAGCGGTATTCGCAGAGGATTTCAAGTTGTTGACCTGTTCGGTAAGCTGGGTCACCAAATCCTCAACGTGACTCGTTCGAGCCCGCACAGCTGCATCGACCAACTGTTGCTGCTCAGCTGTGAGGGTGCTTGCAGAGTTTTGGGGGGCCCAGGGATTCATGAAGTAAGAAGTAGGTAGGTGAAAAATCAATCGATATATAAGGATAGGGATAGGCCAGTGGACTGGCTGGCAAAGGTTGAACAAAGACAAATTTTAGTTTTGGTTGGTGTCGTGAGGAAGGTAGATTTGGGTGCAAGAAGGTGTTATGTTATGGACGTACGTGGATAATAGATAGGGGCAGGGTGATCAAACCGAGGAAAAAATTGAAGCGTTCTTGGTCGGGTGAGGAAGGGGAGCGGGTTGGGTAACAAAGGGCCTTTTTATATCTTGAGGGTACTTGTGCTAGAAATTTTGAACACCCGTTTTTTTTGATGGATTTGCTGTCAGTCTACTCAGCACATTTGTTGTCTTGGTCGTCTTGAGTAGTCTTGATGAGATGATGCCCGTGTTCTTTGGTTAGCGCCGCTGTGTCTAGTACTAGTCTTGAGTAGTCTTGATGAGATGCTGACTTTCATGTGTATGCATGAGGTCACTTTGATCTCGAGTGTTGAATATGTAGTGTAAGGAAAGTTTGTATTCCTTTGTGATGCATGATTTGCTGCCATATGTATGCAATTGTCGCATGCAGATGTCAGGTGTCGCTGCAGCTGACGATGAATTCGAATTCATTCTGACATGCAGCGTCATGATGTCGCTGCGGGCCGCAGCGACAGCGAGATGCCCGCAGTGTGAGGCTTTCGACACCACGGTCATTTGCGTGTTGCCGCGGATGTAACCGTCACCTTGACGAATCCGCGTGCGTGACTGCGGCAGTAGGCGCAGTGACTGCGCACGAAACCCCCAATGAAACCCCCAGATGTCGCTCCGCGCGGGAGCGACATGCAATTGTCCGTGGTGCGACGAGTTAAAAGCACGGTTTCAGCGTTAATTTCCGCCGTGTAGGGACTCCAACATCGGCAGGATAGATCGGAGAGTTTGAAGTGAGTGCCCAGTGAAGTTGTGAACTAGAGATATGTAGAGTGTTGCTTATCTCCCGTGGTTGAAACTGTCTTACCTAAATAGTATGATTGGCTTGGCAGCGCTTGGCAGGGTGCTATGTAATATGCAATGTTGTGTACATAAATATTTAAAAAAGTAATACGAAGTTCAGTACATGCAAACCAGTTGGAGGACAAAAACTTGAATCCGAACCAGCAAGAAGAGCTCATCGCCGGCATGGATTATCTGAGCAGTCTGATCCAACGGAGCAAACGGCCGATGACGATCGTCGCCAGCGTATTCGGCGGAGGATATCTGGCGGTATCATATCTACGATCGAAGCTGGATGAGATGCAGGACTCACTCACACGGACGAGGGCCTGTACGGAAAAGTAAGTGAGAGTTCTTTTTTTGAGTATCAATTGGGTACATCCGCATGTTCAAGAGAAAGAGAAACTGAAGTATTGTGGGTGGATATGATAGTTTGCGACGCAGGTTCGAACAAAACCAGGACGATTGTTCGTTTACCGTCTTGGCTCTGATACCCACCTTAGGCAAACAAGTCATCCAAGCCATGAACGTGGAACGACTAGTGGAAGTATTAAGCCAGACCAAGTCTCGTTCAACTACTCAGATCGGACGATCACCTTCTAATCAAGAGAAAGAACCCTCGATCAAGTCGACTCCACCTCCAGAACCAGAGTCGATCCCGAATGAAGATCATTCATCTGAGCCACATCCTTCCCTCGAGAATTCGATCACCACATCCTCCTCCTCCGAAATCATCAACCCTCTCGATCCAACTCCGACCGAAAGAGCACCCAGCGATGAGCCGCCAGCTTCCAAGCCAACAACAGCTCCATTTCCCCAGGATCTTGCCGAATTACTCGTCCGACCCGACGGCACGGTTCTCCAGAAACGATCAGAGATCTGGCGGGAAATGATGGTGGTCTCGTTTACAAGACTGTTTACGTGTCTATATGGGGTCAGTCTGTTGACCTTACAGACACACGTCCAGCTGGGACTGTTAGGACGGGATGCCTATCTGAGCAGCATCCTTTCGGTCGAGAAGCGTGATGAGTCGGAGGATGAACTGAGGGACGACGAGCAGGTCGAGCTCTGGCCTGAACCCGTTGACTCGCTCGACAGTCCTACCGAACGGCGTTATCTTACCTTCTCCTATTGGTACTTACATCAGGGTTGGCTCGTCCTCGCTCGTAGGACTAGGATCGCCGTCGTCGATGCACTCGCTTCTAGAAACTTGAAAGATTTCGTCTCGGCCTCTGATCTGCTTGAGATCTTTGATCTCGTTCGGAAAAAGGTCGAGCTCGAAGCGGATGGATCTCAGTTCAAGTCAGGTTTTTTTTTTTCAAAATTCATTGACCAAAATTTTTCACTCATACTTACACGAACTTCATCATTTTAAAAAAAAACACAGTTTTGCACCGATCTTACTTCCGACGAATGAATCGGATGAGATTAGGACCTTAGAGCAGGGAGGGATGAGTTCAGCAGAGTGTCAGATAGATGAGCGGCTGAGGAAGTTATTAGATGAGACCCAAGACTTTATAGATTGTCCCGATTTCAGACTAGTGCTTTCGAATGTTATGACTCGGATCCTTGATCTCTGCCTCTCTAATCTCTTCCGTCATGCCCAACTCGATCCTCCTCAGCTCTTGCCTTCCCTGCCGAGGTTCTCTGAACTGCAAGGGGAAGAAGCTTGCCCGCCCTCATCGTCCACTCGATTTGTCGATATCCTTCCTATTATCTCTAAGGAGAGTCTCGAGATCTTGAATGTGATCCCTAATGAATACATCCAGGTTTGTTGTACTTACTCCTTGCCATACTCCATTGAGGGTTCTTAGGACTGACTCTTGAATCCCCTTTTTTTTGATTGGATTGATTGTTTATTTTATTTTTTTGCTAGACTATTGGTGATACTTCTGAGTTGAAGGAGTTCTCGAGTGTGATCTATACTACGTTTGATAGGCTGACTGAGTCGGATTGACTATTTGCATACCTTTGTAACCACATACATGCATGTTGTAAATCTGTTTTGAATTAATCAATTAATTAATTTAATTAATTATTCGATTTCAACTCATTACAGACTCATGATGACGTCATCCAAACCCATACACTCTGAAGTCAAGTCACCCAATGACCAAACCCAAAAAAAACCAAAAAACCAAAACCAACCAACAACATCCCATTCCCAGGATAGGATTAGGATGACTGCCATCAAGTTAACCGAACTGCCGCCGGCGGTCATCAAGACCATCTTCGAACTAGAACCAAGCCTGATCCATCTCTTCCTGGTCAGACTAGCAAACCGAGCACTACACCAACTCACTAGGGATATAGTCTATCAATCAATCACCATCCAAGATAACAACCAACAACAGCAGCAACTAAACTCAATCCTCAATGGACCACAGTCATACTCACTGGCAGTCAGAACGATCCAATTCATCAACCAACTCACAGAGGAAGAACAAGAACAAGAACAAGAACAACAAGAAACAAACAACCATCCAACTAACTGGGATATCCTCATAAGGCTATTGAGCAAACTACCCAACCTGAAAACATTTATCTGGTCATCCAACCGGATCCCAGACCAACAACTAATCAGTCTCATCGGAATCCATTCAACCAACCTCGAATCATTCACACTCGACATCCCCAACCCAAACCAACTCAACGATCATCATCATCAGCACAGTCCCCCACGGCCGAACAATAACGGACGACAGCGTTCACATACGACCGGCGGCTGGATCGAAGACTCGGACTCTGAAACCGAACTACTGACGATCAGACCGATCAGATGGGATGCATACCCTATCGAGGCATTGCCGCCAACACTCACCCAACTCTCGATCTCATCACTCTCTGTCATCGGGGCTAGGAACCTCTCAAGAGCCTTCCATTCTCTCACCTGGACCGCACTCACCGACCTAACGCTCTCAAAGAGTCTCTTCATCGACGATGAACTCATGGCTTCCATCGCCATCGGTTCCAAGAAAATCAAACGCATCTCCATCCAGGGTATGTCCGGTACCAAACTCACCGAACGCGGCATCGAACAACTCTTCTCCGGTCTCGATGGATTAGAGGAAATCGAGTTATTCGACGTAGAAGGTTTATATATGTCCCCGAACTTTTATTGTGTAAATATCAGCACACAGTATATTTATTAACAAAACAACATATTTTTACATCTATAACAGGTCGGTTTTCGAAAGTCGGTTGGTTAAAGCTTGATGATCTCCCGCCAAGTCTCAAGAGTATCAAATTTGGATATCACGAGACCGGCTCATACCACTCCTGGACGCTAGACCATCTACAGAATATTGTCTCACTACTAGCACTCTATCCGCAAAAACTAGAGCATTTCTCGGTAACCCGCTTCGTACCTCTACCGACCATGTTACCCGGAAGACACGCGATCTTCCCCGAGCTGAGCTGCAACAATCGCACAACACCCCAACGGATCTCCAAGGAACAGATCCTCTCGATCGTCGCCCAGGGGAAATCTCTCAAGGAACTCAACCTCGATTGGTGGTTGATCAGCGTCGAAGGCCTTGAAGTGATCGTCAAGGGACTCCCCAACTTACGGAAATTGACTGCGCTCGTCGATGCCCCTTTCCATCGAATCGTAAGACTTCTTCTTAATATCCATCTTCTCTCATCCAGCTTACACATCTTATTCGTTTTTATCAATCCAGATCACTTCCACCGTATTCGTCCATAGCAAGATCCAGACTCTGAAGGTCTCCATCCCTCCAGAGCACACACCGCGTAAGACTCTCAGATTCAAGGATCTAAACAAAATTATACTGATAGCCAATTTGCCCTTCTGTCTAATTGTGGGGGTTCAGTGGTACAAGAGTTATCGCAAGTCCCGATGACGCCGACGATGACAAGCGCAGGCTCACCGATCATGACCCAACAATCGGGCAGCTGTGGTGTCGTATCACCGGGCGGGATGTGGGGCAGTCAGAGTAGCACCTCTCCGATCCCGACCCGGGATCTGAAGAAGTTCATCAAGCGTGCGGGTCATCTTAAGGAGATCATTTGGACGGGACGGGGCGGTTTGGGAGCATGGAAGTTCGTGCGGAACGGGCCGAGCGCCTTGAACGTCCGGGTCGAGTTCACACCGGTTGCTGCTTGTCTTCCACCCGAGGCTTTCGCCTACCAACACAGCCTCCCCTCCTCGGCCCCCTCCTCCAAGTCGTCCCACATTCGCGCCGGCTCTTCCCCTCGCCAGTTCTTCGGCCATCCTACATCGTTCGTCCGGAACGGAACGCCGATCGCTCATCGCACCAGTCGTAGAACGAGTAGCACTGTAACCACTGAGGATGGATCGACGACGACAACGACTTACGATGGCTATAGCCGCAGAAGTAGTTCAACTAGTCTGGCTACTAGTTGGGCCTCCTCATCCTGCGCTCATCTCCCTCCCCTCCCACCTCCCTCTTCATCATCCTCATCCTCCTGCTCTGCTCCTTCGACCGGCTTCCATCATCAATCGATCCTCAAACATGGGATTCTTGATGATATCCCCGGGACTCCTCCGGTCGCACTATCGGATCAAGTGGTCGGCTCGAATCTCGTTCCTCCAACCTCTGATTCACCAGATCTTCTCTTGAATGATCGATTAGATCATCATCCGCATTATCTTTTGAACCATCATCAGCATCAGCTTGGGCTTGATCTTAAGGATCATCCATCCTCCACTCCCAAGCATATCGCACTCGACAATGCCCTCAATCTCGACACCCTTAGCCTTCTTCCTTCCTCCGATACTCATCAACAAATCCCGTCTGCTGATCTGAATTCTTCTTCTTTTAAGTCGTCTTCTTCAGATTCTTCAGAGTCTGTTAAGGTACTTCCTTTATCTACTTGAGAGTTTCTTTTTTTTTTCTCTTTACTTATAACAAAAGTAAACAGATCATATACAATAAAATAAATGTGATGGGATCCTTATTTATGAAAAACGATTTTTTTGTTTTGTTTTGTTTTGAGAAAAAAATGAAAGCGATTTGCAACTTTTTTTCTTCTATTTAATTAAATTCTTTGTTGTTTTACTTTTTATATGTATGTACTTTTTCACATATACATATATATATATGTATATGTATATGAAAGAAATAAAGAAAAATGGGGGTTTTGGTATGTGTTGTTGTTGTATGTATCAGACTGAAAAAAAAGAAATAAACAAAGTGATTTTCTTAACTTAAGAAAAATATTTATGTGTATATGTAGTTACTGAAACAAAATGAAAGAAACAGTTTGGTGAGTGGGTGTTCTGTTGAGTGAGTGCTTAACTTTTTAAGGGGAACAGAGTGTTCCTGCTTGATAAAAATCAATGAATGAGTGAGTTCTAAGGGCTTTTTCTTCTTCTGTGAAAGTACCATTGGGAGATGATGTATGCATCTTCATCTATCATTCACACTCAAATCAATGCACAATCACTGATTTATGATTGATCGTAGTTTTTTTTTTTTGAGATTATCCTGCAAGGACTTCTCATCAGTTCAAAGTCTGCTCACTCTATTCTTCTTTTTCTTTCGGGAACCCTATCTATGGGTGGATTTTGTATGTGTGTGACTGTGTTGGTTGTGTGATGGGTTTGCTACCGAATTACGACCTCTAGAGGGTGGCAGGAGAAATTCTTGAGGATGTGATCTGTTGATTCTGGAGACCATATTAGACCATCTCCATCTGTGCTGGTAAACCAAAGGAGTAAACTGAAATTCAACATCCCACACCCAAAATGGGTGCTCAACAGGAAGAGCCCCCCCCCAGGTACTACAGCATTGCCAGAAGTACAGTCTCCATAGCAACCCAAATGTCTCCCCATCCTATTGGTTCCACAGGGCAATTTTTGTGAAATCCTCACCCCCCCCCCTGGCCCCTTTTAATCCTTGCTGGTATCCCCTGATATCACTTTCATGTACATCATATCTCCTTTTGGCAACTTGTGGTGAAAAATAAAATCACACTATGATCCTATAATTGCATGTCATCTGGAGAGTTTGGCAATTGATCAGCAACTTAGAACACAATGTTGCCTGGTGGAGATGTTGTTAGAAATTCTGTTTAGTCAGTCAAACTTGAACCTTGCCAGGTCATGTGAAATCAGCACATAATCTGACTGGGAAGAAATTCTACATCTTTTTTTCACAAATTTGACAGGTTTTGAAACCATACACCACACAGTCACAAACTAAATATAGGGCCACTGCAGTTGATGACTAAGGAATCCAGTGCTAACCTCCTAATCATTATTCTCCCACATTTCATGAAGCCTTACCTATGTATTCATTTATGAATGGCCTGATAGCCATGAAGTTCACTATGATATATAAGTGATCTGTGAGCAATTGTGTTTTCTCCCCTTCAGTATTGGCTAAACAAAAAAACTTTATAAAATTCACCTCATCCAAAGATGGCGGGGCATAAAATGGGTGCATTTCAGTCCTTCCAGTGTCACTCAATTACACAATTCAGACCACTGCAATCAACATAGAGCTTCCTGTTTCAATTGGGCACCAATGTAGGAAGGGAAACTCCCTTCATCTCCAAGATGAAGGTCAGAAAATTTCAAAAGAAATTGAGTGATTGTGATACTCTGATAAAAACAGAGGATCAGAACTTTCAGCCCAGAAACATGGAGCCTGAAAACTTTGATTCAAGCAATTATTTGAGTCAAGTCGTTGTAAGACTCAAAAGTGGTTGTGAAACCCTTTTTCTGAATTGAGAAGGGGAAAAATGGAGGTGCAAACTCTGCCCTTCTATACTATCAGAAACAAGACCCCCAAGCTTAGCTTGGAAAGTTTTAATAACATGATAGGATTGGCCGGTTCCGGTATAAACTTTGTTTTATGAAAAGTAAAGGTTGAATATATAATTGCTTATAAAAGAAACTGTTATGTTGTGTAACAGGTGAAAGGCTTATATAATTGTTTTTAACTGGTGAGTTGTATATTGATTGACTGCTGAGTGATGAACTGAGTGAATGAGTAGTGAACTGGAATGAGGAGACAACAAATGGGGGGAAGAGAGCCTCCTTTTATAGACAAAAGTGAGGGAATTTAGCTTCAGGGCAGACAAGAAAGAGTGATTTTAGCTGGCCTGTAGGTACAAATGAGTGAATTTAGCTAGTCTGATCATGCAAGTGAGGGAAATTAACCAGTGAGGCTGTGTACAATTAATGTCAAAGGCTGTGCTGCAGTGCGTAAATAATGTGAGAAAGTGTCAAATGAGGCAATAAATTGTGGGAAAAATCCAGCTGTTGTCATAAATGAGGTGAGAAAATTAATGAACTGTGGGAAAAGTAATTCAATCAAGACTGCGCAGCCTGCAAAGGCAGTGCATGAGGTGACAAATAAAACCAAACTAATATATGCGGTGGAGATAAAGAGGTGTGGGAAATTATGTGTATACCGTGAGCTGTGTATAAGCATAACTGAGAGTTGAGTTGAGGGTTGTGACATGTGCTTGACTAGGTATTGGCTTTGTGATACGCGTCCGTAGGGGTGTAACTTCCAATCCGTGAGTGTTCCAATGATGCGTCCAGGGGTGACCCAGGCTGAAATTGTCTGTAGAGTCCATTTCTGAATCCGTATTGGTTGATTTCTGAGTGAATGTATGAGAAAAATGTATATAAAGAAAAAACTTTGAATTTTTTTACATATTAAATTACCACATTAGGGGGTATCAAATATAACGAAATCCACCACTTTTTAATTGACAGGTTTTGAGAAATCCACACTTACCAAATCCACCTTTGCAGTGACCAAATAACCTACTTCTTTTGTCCGGGCGTATCAAATATAGCATAAATCAACCCATTTTTTTAGCCCAAAATTCCTGAATTTCAAATTTCAAATTCCAACCATCCCCCATCCTCCACGATTCCCTCAATCCTCCACGATTCAATCCCCACTCACCCCACGGCTTCTTCAACATCTCCTCTTAACTTGCCCCTGCACATCACTCGTCATCAAACCAAGTCTGATCAATTGATTAGTTCAAGGTATTTATCTTCAACTGAACCAAAGTATATTTCAATGGCCTCACAAATTTTGTTCTTTTTCCACTCCATGCACCCAACAGATGCCTCCAAAAAAAAGCTTCCAGATTCCCAACCCTGCGATCACTTCGAACCCCTCCAAAGAAGAAGAGGGCCACTCCGAAAAATACACGATCAAAGAAGAACGATGATGAACTTGGTTCATCCCAAGGTCATCTAAAAATAGAGGACTATGAAATCATCATCGACTGGCTCAGAGACAAGAAAAACTATGTTGCCTGTTTTGGCGATGTGGTAGTCAAAAATGTGAAAATTCAAAGTTTTTTTTTCCTTTTCTTTTCTTATGTATATATTTCTTCATATTATCACCCAATCACTCTCAGAATTCACACCATACGGCTCAAGAACTGGACTCTACGGATAAAACCACCCTTGGTCACCACGGAGGCGTCACTGGAACACACCTGGATCAACTCTTACCCAACACGGGACAACATATCACAAGTATTTCACCCATCATTACATATCACCAAACCCAATTACAACCCTCAAGCTACACAGACACCCTCAGTACAGTACACACTCATTTACATACATCTACACTCTTTTCATTTCACTTCTACATATTACATCATACCTGCAGCCTAAATTAGTGTATTTTCCATGCATGACAGCTGCAGCTTACACCACCACACTCACTTGTAAACACATCAGAACCTGACCAATCAGAATCACTCATTCAGCTGCTTGGATCACCACTTCAACTCTTGTACATGTCTGACCAATCACATTCACTCATTCAAATTTTGTATGTAGCTAAAAATACCTCATGTAATAGCCCAGGCCAGCCAAAATCACTCATTACTGGCTGCCCTGGAGTTAAATTCCCTCACTGTTGTATATATAAGGAGGCTCTCCTCCCAGTGTATTATTCATCAGTCACAGTTTAGTACCACTCAATCAAAGACACACCACCTTTACAGAACCTTACCAAACACCAATAACAACTAAACTCATTTCTCAGCATCACACAAACTCATTCCTGAACTTACCCTATCACTTGATTAAAACTTGCCAAGCTGAGCTTGGTGGGTCTTGTTATCTGATAGTATAGAAGGGCAGAGCTTGCACCTCCACCATCCCCTTCTCCATTCAGCAAAAAGGGTCTTACAACCACTTTTTGAGTCTTACAGCGATGGGAAGGCTCCTGCGATTGGACGACGACCAAAGGCGATGATAAACGGTTACGAGTTGATGGCGATTCACCTCCGAAATGTTTCTCCAACTAAAATCAATCTTACCCCCCAACAGATGAAAGATCGTTTCAAGTCATACAAGGACAAGTATAAGAAAGCTCATACGAAATCTATGTCAACTGGCTTCGGTCTGACCCCAGCTGATCGGAAGGCTGGAATCACAACGATCAAGGACAAACTTGAAAATATGTGTCCTCTCTACGCTGAAATGGACGAAATCTTTGGTAACCGACCTGACGTCAATCCGTTGTTTATGGCGGATGCAGAGGATGAAGACAATTCATCTGAATCATCTTCTGAGGACAACAATTCCGATTCCTCAAATGAGATGGATGAGAACGATTCATCTCATAGTTCTGAGTCCACTGCTATTCACCCTTTGTTGAAGAATGCTACTTCACAAGTCAATATCGTGGCCCTGGAGCAAGAAAACACAGGTGATGTAAGTCAATTGGATTCATTTGTTGTCAGTCGTCTGTTCACTGATTTTGAAAGATATTGCCCCGTCAAACAGAGAACGGAAGCTCCGACTGGGCAAGTTCCAATGGATGAAGAGGCAGGTGTCCAGGCTGGGGCAACAGGTGTAAGTTGCACTGTTGAGTGATGGCAGAAAAGACTACAACTATATTGACTTTCTTCATTGTTCTTATCCAGGAACCCACTCCATCGGGTGAGACTGTCCAAGATCCAGCTTCAAAGTCTAAGGCTGTGGGGACCCAGGCGAAATCACCAAAGAAGA